TAGCTTCCACCTGCCCACACAGGCTTCCCCAGAAACCCTTCTTGCATAAGCCATGGTTCGTCCTGGTTTCAATGCAAGCAAACAGAAATGTTTGGTCACTACTATCTGAATTAAAAGAGGTATTATGTGTACTTTATGCTTTTCAGCTGGCAGAAATTCAGAGAAAGAACCCAGTGATACGGTGAGAATCTCATACGTGATGGGCAATGACACCTGGTGCCAGCTTTCACATCAAGGTCAGCTAAATGGGAACTGTTGGATACAGGAATTGAAAGGCTTGGTTGTGCAAGAAAGCTGTCAAATCAAAATGATAACATAACTCCCTGTTCTACACCTAAAATAAAGAAATTGAGCCAGTGTCAAATTCTTTAATTCCAGAACAATAGCAACTGGGATGTGGTTAATGTTTTGGCTTCAGAGCCATTAACTCTACAAGGACTTCTTCCTTCACAGCTGGCCAAAAAGTGACCTGCTTTTATGACCCCAAGGAAATGAGGAGCTCAGACTACAAAACTTAGAGAAGTCTTTGTCATCACAGGAAGACAAGCTGTCTTATTCTCAGGTCAGAATGTGAAGGCATTCACATGATTTCACAAGCTTTTCAGTCAGTCACAGCTGAATGACTCGCATCTGGTCATCCAGCCATCTCGCCTTGACCTACCTCAAGCAAGGTAGGTCTCAATTTGCTGATTCAAAGGCATCAAAGACAAAGGACGGTTTTAAGGCAGATTTTGTGAAATACATCGGTGTTTGTGCAGTCACCTCTGAGAAGCCAGCACCTCAGAGAAAGTTAGCAACCCACCCTACAGAGCAGGGACTCTCCCCCCAACCCCACGGCCCCCATCTAATTTTCATGCGCCACACAAGGAACAAGCACTGTCACTGCAGCATCTGTCAATATTCTATCTCTTCTCCAAGAGAATCCACCGCTGTCCAAGTACTACAGAAAGCTGTTTCTGACCTTCACCTCCCCTTGGGCAGCCTATCATCTCTACCACAACTCTGCAGTTAGGTGCTTCCCTTGCCAAGGAAGGGTACTGTTATCCACTTTAAGGAGACCACCTCTGAAATTGGGTGTCAAGCTCCAAAATTGGATATGTCTGGGGACTGCTGTCACACAAAAGTTGCCAGGACAGAAAGCTGTTGCTGGACTTTACTTCCCCTGGGCCAGGGGAGTAAACCAGACACTGCCTGGGGTGCTATTAATTCTCATTTCCTCTATTTCTCTACATTTATACACCTCTCTACGCCTATAAAAATTTTTGTATCAGCACGTATATGGATGGAGCACACTTACAACAGGTAGTTAGTTGTCTCTGACTACGCCATCCTCCGGGTATGCTATTTTGCAGACCAAATGAATAGTTGTTCTTTGTACTACTTTCCACAACTCTTTCATGCTCCCCAGCCAGCACAGGTTCTTGGCCTCCTGTCCAAACTCCAAAGCTGAGCTTCCCAAGAGGCGTGTTCCACCATCACATAAGAAAAATTGTGGTCAGAAGGGGATCAGAAGAGAAATGCAACCTGACACCCATAAGCACAGTGGAAATGTGTACCTTGTACTCAAACAAGTTGTGCTGCACAAGAGATACAGACATCCACACACCCAACAAATGCCACAGAAACTGTATTTAGGAAGTGGAGAGCATAGGGGAGCATAAGATATTTTAACAGCTGACTTATTGCCAGCAAGACACAGCCTTGCAGTAAGCGCTAGACATTTTCAGAGCAATGACTTCTTGCCTTCCACATGAGTTTTCACAGCTGCACCAAGAGATGCGGACAAGTGGCTACTTCTGCTGTAGAAAAGCCTATGGCTTAAAGGGGCAATAGTGCTATACAACCACTGCAAAGACGTGTGAGGAAAATCATACGCTGTCTGAGCATATGCTCTGTTGCTCAAGCTACTCAATCCTCCCTGTGATTAATCGTCTTTATACATTTGGAAAAGGGGAAATGGAAAAGGGAAAGGAGAGGAAAGAACAGGAGGGAAGGGGAGGGTGGAAGGGATGGGGAGGGAGAGGGGAAGGGAAAGGCAAGGGAAGGGGAAGGGGAGAGGGAAAAGAAGGGGAAGGGAAAAAAATCTGGATGGAACAAGTTTTCAAGATGAGTGAGAAGTAAGGCCTGGGGTATATGAAATTAAAGGAAACTAACTACAGGGTGAAATAGCTAATGGAACTGAAGTAAGACATGAGTAAATGACAGTAAGAAAGGGTGGCCAGATGCTGAGTCCAGTGAAACTTATTTGTTAGGTAAAGCAAATAATTTGTTCAAGTCTCATCTCAAGGGTCAAATTTTTTTCAAATAGTAATAGAAATTCGCTCCTGATGACTGGGATTTGAATAAACAATCGGAGCATACATATATTAGATATCAAAATAGGTTGTCCTGGTTTTGGCTGGGAGAGAGTGAATTTTCTTCTTAGTAGTTGATACAGTCTGTTTTGATTTTAGTATAAGAATAATGTTGATAACACATTGACATTTTATGTTTTGTTTAATAGTGCTTACCCTAAGTCAAGTACTTTTCAGCGTTTCATGCTCTGCCAACAAGAAGGTGCACCAGAATCCAGGAGGAAGCATGGCCTGGACAACTGACCCAAACACCGTTCCACACAACAGAATGTCATGCCCAGTAACTGATTTGCTGCTGCAGCACAGGCTGGGCATCGGTCAGTGGGTGGTGAGAAATTTTATTGTGCATCACTTGTTCCTGTTGGGTTTTATTCCTCTGTCCTTCTCCTTTTCATTACTATTGTAATAGTTGTTGTTACTGTTATTATATTTTATTTTGTAATACAACTATTAAACTGTTCTTATTTCAATGCACGAGTCTTACTTTTTTTCTGATTCTTCTCTCCACCCTGGGGAGGGTGGGGGAATGAGTGAGTGGCTGCCTGGTACTTAGTTGCCAACTGGGGTTAAACCACAACATGTGTGTATATATAAATATTTATATTAATTTATATAAATATATATAAATGCTTGGTATATGTTCAGAGTTTGAATTTTTCAGTTCAATTTTTTCTTAAAGAGTTCGAGATGTACCAGTCTGTCAGAGGGTTTTGGTTTTCTGGTCTTTTTTTTTTTAGGAGATGAGTACAGAAAAGTGACTTCCTGGAAAAATATTTCAGATGTAAAATTGAACAATGTTAGATGCACACACTGTCAGGCAAAAAAAATATTTATGCAGGATTAATTCCAGTGTCCAATATTGGTTCAGTACACATATTGATGAACTTTCTTTCATCTGTGATCCTAGTTTATGCCAGCTGCTTGAAAAACAAAACAAATCATATTTTAAAAACAAAGGAAACTCTGCTTAAATTAAATCCCCTTCTTAGGATTTAATGTTCAACTAAGCCGAAGAAGGAAGCAGTGGTGAAAGCAAACAAATATGAATTATGAAGAATTTCTCTCTGTTTATTCTGGGTAAAAGCTGCTTAGCTTGGTCTCACTGCTAAACTGATTAACAAGCAGATACAGCTCTCAAGCAAGTTAAAACTCCCTCTAATGGCAACTGGATAAAAGACAGTTTGAAAAAAAGAAAAGCATCTCACTGCATTTGAAACCTGTTTTTCACTAAGAAAAATCTGGTTAGTATGAATGCTTTTGAAAAGTGAAACTGTTGCCAGTGCCCAAGATTCTTTTAAATTACAATTTTTTACAGTCCTGATATAACATTTTTATGTGCTTTGTAAGATGTGTTATGTAAAAAATTACATGTTACATAAAATGTTTTTTCTCCAACCTGTCTGTTGTTTTAACAGAGTGTCTTAGAAAAAAACACTCAGGACGAACGACTCCGCCCATTCGTGAAAAGGGTCCTGCTATTCTGCACCACCACTCCCAATAGAAACACTAAACACTGAGAGATAGTTACAGAATCAGGAATTCACAGGTAAAATAAGCATTTAATCCATGCAGGGAATGTAATAAAATTAGAAAATATTACATTCTGCTTAAAAATACCAAACAGAAATTGTCCTTAGAAAACCATAAAAATTAAGAACAAACCACAGCTGCTTTCAGCTGGATGAGCACTGTCTGCAGGATTAAAATATTAAGGAAGGAAGGTAACCACAGGATTACAGGTTAGCACTCGCTGTGTTAGCATTAAAGTAAAGGGGAAAACTTACAAAGTCATTAATTTAGAAAGCTTCAAGCTCTGTCATATTGAGATCTGGCTTTTTCCTATAACCCTGAGGCTATACTCTATTTCAGGTTCCTGGATAAATTCTAGAGGTTACTCTCCTTTATTTCTGCCATGCCTGCACAAGGACATAGAATTATAAAACTGAGAGATCATCACTTGATTTCTCATTAGCAGTGATGATTCTGTGCAACCTTTTTATAGCCTAAAGGTCATTTCAATTACCAAAAACAAGAATCTCAGGCTCTTGCTGGTCAAGGGTGAAATGTTTTCAGAAGAGAAGTATTTGAGGTGGTAGAAACCCAAAGTAAAGTGAGTTGAACATAAAAAAAAAAAAAAAAACTAATTTTAAAAACCAGACTTTTCAGTCAAAAATCGAACTTTAAAAAATGCTGACTTTTTATCCAAAAGCTCACTAGAGCCATTCCCCTCAAAACCAATGTAGTAACTCTGCTGCTTTAGAAGCAGAAGTTTTTACAGAGAGGTGTGGAATAGACTACTCTTTTACACTAGCACGCACTCCCCTTTCAAAATAAGAACAGCATATGAAATCTGATCCAAACACCACTTAAATAAATAAAAAGTCTTCAGAATTCACACTAGCTTACATGCACAGTTATTACCTCTTCTCATAGTTATTGGGTGTGCAGAGCAAAAATGACCACTTACCACAGCAATGCAAGTAAGTACTAACCACAGTAAGTACATTTATAATGGCAGATAAAATAAAAAGCATATTCTAAAAGTAGGACATACTTCCCCGTGAGACGCTAGAGACAAGACAGAGATCAGTCTATGCTTATAAGTAAACTCATTTTATTGAATGGTTTGCAGTGCTGCTTAAAATAACAACACTTACCAATCTATACATGTGGTTTCAATTTTTAAAAATTGAAATTTTTTTCAGAAAACATGCATATTTACGTATATAATTTTGAGATAAAAGAAGGAATTACCATTTACAGCAGAAATTCATCTTTAAAAATCTTTAAAGAGATAAGGCAGGCAGTGGCAATTCGGCAGAAGGCAAAACTTACTCTCTACTCTGAAGGTCTAGTTTATTCATTGAGAGACATTAGTACCTGCACAAGAAGGTCATTTAAGGATGGATTCAACTGAAAATGACAGTGGTTCAGTTGTTGAAAGTTTTGTTGTGGCCCCAAAGAAGTCTTTTGCACATTTGTCTACAGTAAACTTGTACTTTTGGTTCTCTTTAACAGCACACTCTCTGTATTTCTTAGAAGCATCTTCAAAAGTCTCTTTCATAAATGATGTTCTTAACTCTGCTCCTGATCTGTCAGAAAATGTCTGCTGGAACAGTGACTGAAACGGGCTGTATTTGAGCGGGGCAGGAGGTTTGGTACTGCTTTTGCTTATCTTGCTTAATACCTGCTCCTGAGGAGGCAGAGAATCCTTATCAGAAATCTGCGAGAAAGTTCTTTTTGGAGGAGAGAAAGCTGACCTCTCCCGAGCTTCCTGAGGAAGGCAAAGTATTTCATTACGTGACTGCTGAATGTCTTGCGTGTGAGTCAGAATAAGTGAATTTTCCAGTTTCGGAGGCATGATGTCATGCTCAGTGTTTGGACAGTCTTGACTTTGTGAGACTTTGGCATCCCAACCTGCCCCAGGTTTGAGAGCTTGGACAGTACTAGCATTTAACAGGCATTGCTGGTAGAGAAGAGCATCGCTAATGGGGCCACATTTTGGCCACACTAAGAACCTAGAAGGCAGGGGATACTGCCTGTAGGAAGTAGCTACACTGACATTTGAAGAAATTAGCTCCATGTTGCTGGATCCTGAATACTGCATCGTTAGATCAAGGCAGGTTGGTAAAAAATTGCAAAACTCCTTGTTTGGACCATCAACTTGAATAGTGTTGAAGGCTGTTTTATATGAGTTGTATTCAGCTCCACGGACTATGCGGTTAGGGAGAAAAAGGGCAGCTGCTTGTGTAGCTTCCATCATCTCTCTCTCTTTATACTCTCTCTCTAGCATAATGTTCTCCAACTCTTTATCAGCAAAAGCCCGTCTCTTTCTCATCCTGTCACTGACAGGGGGTGGCAAGGGTGAATTCCCTCTCAGGTAAGGGTCTGTTGGAATAGGACGGTAACCTAAAACAACAAAGCAGCATTAGGAATGAAGCCACATAAGAAAAACATGAAAGCTACGTTTGTACAAGAGCTCCATTTGGAACCAGTCCCACTAGGTGCTGAGCACTCGCTGCAGACCCTGGACACCATCAGCTCCCACAGAAGTCACCGTGACACAGAGGCTTAGCAATCTACCAACAGGCACGTTCAGTACAAGTTCCTCAATGCAGATAAGCAAGCCCTGCTCCTCTGACACATGTAGTATCCTTCAAAGCTTACTGATTAGTAACTTTTTAAAAAGTGTTTCCAAAAGAACAGATTAGGGGCAGTGGAAAAAAAGAAAAAGGCAAAGCCCTGCTGTGTTATGACTGGTATTCCATCTCACATCTTAAGGAGATAGCCATTCACTTTTAACACATACGGAAAGCATTCAAATATTTTATTTCTTCAGAACTAAAAGAAAACTAAGATAAAACATAGAAATCCAGTTTCCAGTGTATTCAATTACCAAGCTACTTGGATTCATTTAATATAGCAGATAGAGTACAATCCTGTTTGCTCTACCCAGACAAGTAATCTCATTGAATTGATGGAACTACTTACATGAGTAAGGAGAACAGGGTTTTACCTGTTTTCACTCCTATTCCTCTTACACAGTTTTCCCAAGGAAGATATCTGTACCTACAGCTGACATCTTTTCTATTTTCTAAAGATGAATGACTATGTACAGATATTGCTACAGATGGTAGAAAATTCCAAGGAAAACTAGGAGAAAAGAAAAAGATAGTCAAAACAGAACAGAGGAAAGAATACAGAAGAGTTTTCAAAAGAGTGAACTATAGACAAAAGTTAGAGGTTTCTAAGAAGACAAAATTTTAATTGAGCTTGCACAGGCAAAGAAAAGAGTTTTCTATTTTGGAAAAAAAAAACCAGATTTGAGAAGTGCTTTACAGGCCTACAGTTTGGAAAGTAATTAAAGCAGACATAGAAATAAATTTGTGCACGATCCCAAAAGGAAGTGGGGAACAAAAAATATACCATCTCAATAAAATTTTCATCTTTAAAATATCATTCTTCCACAGTTAACACTTTGGACAGGGAAAAAAAATTGAGCACCCTATTATGCATATCTTACTATTGATAATGTTGCAAACGGTGTTGCTGTGTTAGGCATTCAGATCAAAAGAAAAAAAAAATCATCGATTTACTCATTTGCTCATAAAAACACTCGTGAATAAATGACCGTGAATAAAGTGCCGCGCACTGCAGAACGCTGCTGGGTAGTCATGTAAAAAGAATGTCAGCTTGTAACAGTAACTCTCGGCGGAGGGGGCAAAGAACTGAAATTCTGCCACACTGATTCCGGCCTCGAAGGGCAGGATCCTCCGCCGCCCGGCACTGGTAGCGGGACGCGCTTTAACGCCTGTTTCGGGAATGACGCCGCATTTCACGCGCGTCCCGCAGCAGACGCGCCTCGGACTGGAGGTGCGGGTCTTACAGGGGCAGAGCGGGTGCCGGAGGGCTGAGGGCAGCCCGTGGAGGGATGGGGGAAGTGCTTACCTTCCAGGATGCTCTTGGCCAAGAGGCTGGGCGTTCTGACGTGCCTCT